ACAAACAAACAAACAAACAAACAAACAAACAAACAAACAAACAAACAGTTGTTTAATTCTTTCTTATACTTTTAAATGTTTGTATACTTACTGTTTTAGCTTTTAAATATTATCTTTTTAATGATGTAAGCCACTTTGGTTCCTTTTTAAGGAGAAAGGCAGGATAAAGATATTTTAAATAAATGAAAAAGAATCAGTAACAGAGTTGGCCTTTACATTGTCCTCCAAAAGTTCGTCCATGATGGTGAAACAGGACATGAATTTGAACTGGACTGGAGCATGCAAATCAGTTTCTTCCAAGAATGTTTACAGTTAAATCACTGTCTTTTTCTAGACTGGCCTGCAAAAAAGGGGAGGTGGACCAGTAGTGGAAGGGCTATTCTGTCATGCAGTGATGCATACACCACTCACTCCCTTGGGTTCAGCTCCAAATGGCTACCTCAAGAAAGTCATGTTCTGTAACGGCTGAGATAGCAAGTACTGGCTTCAAAAACTGAAAATGATTCAACAAAACAGGACAAGTGATTCATGATACTACATCAGACAGCTGCTACATCAACAATGGCACTCAAGGCAGCCTGAAAGTTGAGTGATTTTATCCTCAAGGTATATGGACTGGAACTGTTAAAACTTTGTCAACCAGATGTGCAAATGGAATTGGTGGACAAAACATGACTTTCAGTATCTGATGTAGAAACAGATGGGGCCCATATTAAACATTTTTGCTGAGGAGCAAACGCCTAACTTAGCTGTTAGTGGACATTAATATGAACAAGGCATTGATAAAACTTACCAATATCTTTTTGTGGAGAGATAGGATTTAAATGTCCGGCAGAAGAACTTTCACCTGACTGAAACATGAGAGTTATTACAGTGAATTAATCAGAAAACTAAGAAGCAATTCAGGAAATGGGAGATCAATGTGCTGTATTATCAATGCAGAATAAAAACTGTACAACTGTATAGTTATGCACAGATGGTGAAACTGGTGTTTAAAATCTGGACACCAGAAGCAAAACTTTGCTATTTCTATCAGTGTGGTTACTTCTTCATAGTCTTCCAAGTGGCTATTCCTTCTATCAATAAAATATTAATGAAATCAAACTAGAAAAAAAGAAAGTTACATAATGCCTAAGAGCCATGCTTGGTCTGGAGAGTTGATTGAAGAACGCGGAGATAATAGATCCATATCTCTCTCAGAATCTTAAAACAAAATTTCTCTGCCCAAGCACCTAATATTTTGTCATCATTTTTGGTAAGTGTGAGAAAGAGCACTAATTTCAGATACATTCCAGATACAAATAGCTATTTGTATCTCAAAACAGCCCTTGTTACTGTAATATGTTCACATGAATATTTCTATTTGATTAGTTATAAATGCTACTTAACTTTAGAGTTCACTCTTATTTATTTTATTACAGCAATATCCTGTCTTTATTCTGATTTTGCTTTGGGCACTAACTATGGTTCACCTCACCACATTTTATCCTCAGACCGTGAAGACTGTGGTCAAGTGTAAATCTCAATCTACATCCTTCCAGTTCTGATATGACACTCTTAATCATCATTCTATAGAGCTGTCAGGGCAGCAGCATCCATTTTCTGAGGCTGCAGGGCTTTGGCCTGAGACCCATGGATGGGCACGTGTGAGGACCTGTTAGTGAGTCCTTATGACGTCACAAAAGCTGGGAGAAGGTTTAGGATGGAGGCAGCTGATTGTGGAAAGAGGCACAGATTCCAGTTCTGATATGACACTCTTAATCATCATTCTATAGAGCTGTCAGGGCAGCAGCATCCATTTTCTGAGGCTGCAGGGCTTTGGCCTGAGACCCATGGATGGGCACGTGTGAGGACCTGTTAGTGAGTCCTTATGACGTCACAAAAGCTGGGAGAAGGTTTAGGATGGAGGCAGCTGACTGTGGAAAGAGGCACAGAGTGCTTTACAGTGCTCTCGCCTCAAGTGCATGTATGCCCTCTCCAGACTTCTCACTCTCCTGGTTTTCTTTTCTTTTGTTGTCTCGACACTATGCAACCTCAAAACAATTACTGTATAACCAACTTCAAACTGACCAGTGAATCCTGACCCCAGCTAGGAAGGGATGCCCAGGTTTTAAAGCAGTGATTCCTGTGGTGATACCCATGCTGGGACTGAGCCTTACTCTCAGAGAAAGCCTGGCTGGCTGCTTTTCTTTCCCAGTGCAAAAATTGCCCTTTTCCTATTTTCCCAGTAGCTGCCACCAGTCTCCTAATTAATGTGATTTACTGATGTTAATCACAAATTAATGAGTTGGGTGCAAAACCCTTGCATTCTGCCCATGCTCTGTTTGCTCAAGTAATGTGAAACAAGAGGCTTGGCTTACTGGCACTATGTGTAACCAAACTGTAGCTCTGTAAGAACAGATTTTCTACACCAAGAAAAGTCCATCCTCAAAGCATTTAAGTTCCACTGAATACATTTCAGGGCTCCTAATCAAGGCAATGGGGACGTGGTGGCGCTGTGGGCTAAACCGCAGAAGCCTGTGCTGCAGGGTCAGAAGACCAAGCAGTCGTAAGATCGAATCCACGCGACGGAGTGAGCGCCCGTTGCTTGTCCCAGCTCCTCGCCAACCTAGCGGTTCGAAAGCATGCAAATGCGAGTAGATAAATAGGTACCATCTCGGTGGAAAGGTAAACAGCGTTCCGTGTCTAAATCATACTGGCCATGTGAGCACGGAAAGATTGTCTTCCGACAAACGCTGGCTCTATGGCTTGAAGAGCGGGATGAGCGCTGCCCCCCAGAGTCAGACACGACTGGATAAAAAAATTGTCAAGGGGAACCTTTGCCTTTACCTTTTTAATCAAGGCAATAAAATCAGATTATAGGTAATTAAGGCTAAGAAATACTGCTATTTCCCTAACTTTCTAACAGGCAGGAATCTATACTTGTCCAGTACCAAAGCTTACATAGGATGAAATTCCATTCAGTTACATCTCGGAGGTGACTCCCCCCCACCGCCATAGAGAGGAGTGCTCTCTTCCCTCACTTCTTCGGAAATCCTGGAATCTAAGTATCCAGACCCTCCCAGCTGTTTGCTTGAAACCATTTGTGCCATGGGAGCATGCCCCTTTCTTCTGTAGATTTGCATGTTGTGTGAGGGCCTAGAAAATTTTCAAGCTTCAAAAAAGAGCTTTTGAAGTGTGCACCTGGTTGTTTACTGGAAAAGCAGATGGCTTCTTGCATTAATCCCAAGGCTGCTCCCTTCCTTTGATATGGCATCTCCTGTGATATCTGTATGTAACTTTGTACCTTTTTATGGTTAATCATGTTTTTCAGTGCCCTCTCACCAGGGTGTACCAGGGCCCGTTTCAGCATTGTTCCCAACCTTGGTTCCCCAGATATTCTTGGACTACAACTTCCAGAAGCCTTCACCACTACCTGTGTCTGCCAGGATTTCTGGGAGTTGTAGTCCAAGACCATCTGGGGAACCAGTGCTTTAAAGTAATCTCCCACACAGAAACTAAACTTCCTTTCTAACACTACCTGCTCTGAGATTTCTTTCTCTGCCTGAAGACCCAGGGAAGCATATGAGACTCCAGGTGGCACAGTGAGATCTAGCAACTCTATATCACACAGCTATGCATTTTAATTATACCTGATGGTTTGGTGAAATTTCAGCTCCAAATGCAGAGGAATCAAAGAAATTAAATCCAGGTGACTTTGAAGTAAAACAAGTAAGAAATGAAAAAGCTGGTGACTTGGACATAGATCCTTCATTTTCTGACTGAAGCCTGGCATAATGAAACAAAGGAAGAAATTAAGTAAGGATAAAACATTTAAGATTACACCTATAATAGCTGACATCGAAATTTAGTAGAAATGTAGGCTTTCATCATGGGAGCTTTTGAGAGAGGCAAAGTTTTTAAATATTCCTTGAACTAAATGTTATATGAATTAAAAATCCTTACAAGTCAAATGGTGTTTTCATTCCACCAGAATCAGATGTCTTTGAAAGTATATTTGGCTCTGGAGTTCTTGGAAAACTTTCAGTACTTTCCTCTCTCTCTGCAGAGTGATTTCCAGCTGGATTACTGTAACACTCTTTATGCCCATCCTGTTAAAGGCAAATGTTAATTGTGAGGCCATATCTGTATTATGTTATGGCAGTTATGGCTACAGTTGAATATGTTTGTTTGCTTCCATAAATGTAGTGGGTGCAGAACCTGCTGTGCTGGTCATAGGACTCTGGGGCAATAGTTCAAAAGAGCAAATTTTCCAAATTCAGTTGTGAACATTATGAAGTTCCTTTATAGGAAGAGCATTGATTCATTCAGCTCTATACTAAGTGGCAAAAACTGTCAGGGCTCCTTCCAGACAGTGATCTTTCTGAATCTTCCCAGGTATTAAAATAGGGGCCTTCTGCATACAAAGCACTTGCTCTGCCACTGGGTTATGCCCCAGGGTGTGACCACACTTTCCCACTTCTAACAAAGATTTGATATCTTTATTCCAGTATTCAACAGGAAGTATATGATCATTAATTCCGGAACAGTGACAAGAAAAAAAGGAGATGAGAATGAACAATTCACAGATTTGTCAAATTTGTCTTCCAAAGGATGCTTCCCTAAACTACTGCTGGGGAAATTGGAAAGGAAATAAGCTACACGGTTTCAGCATATCCACTGGAGAAGCAGACTACGCTTCCATTTCTTCAGTGCCAAAATGCTCAGTTCCGGAGTGTTCCAAATAAAGCTCGGCATAGGCAGAGAAACCCATAAAAGTAACATACCAAAGACCACAGACAAAAAGTATAATCATTTTTCTTGAGGAGTTTTCCTGGGATTGCTTGAGGCGCTAAGTAAAGACTACAAGAAGTTTATAAGTCCTTAAGTCAGGGGTGAGCAGTTTTCAGTCCCCGAGACCTGAAAATGGGATGGGAGGGAATTATTCTCTTTTGTTGTTGTTGTTGTTGTTTCGAGGCTTTAAGGGGGTCTTGGGAGTTTCCAAAAGCGATAGGTTCTAGGAGTTAAAATGACACTTTTCACCACAGTTTGTTGTTGCTGTAGAAGCACTGGGGTATGTGGGAAACCCAAGTGGCCACAAGCATTTCTTTGGGGCCTCATGCAGCCAACTGATTGTACTTTGCCCACCCCACTCCTGCCTCGATTTAAAAAAGAAAAAAGACCCATACTCCTGTCCTGTATCAGCATAACACAACAGAATATGGAGTACTGGAGAATTTGAGGACTTTGGAGGAGTAATTGAAATATAAAATAAAAATAACATTAAACTGACTTGAGATGTATTTGCAGAATCCTTTGACTTGTTTCCACCTTCTCTTCCTGCATAATCGGCCGTGTTTGCTATAGAATATCATGTTAAAAATAGATTATTATACATGAAAATAATATTTGAATTCTAAAGTTTTATCTCATAATATTGGTTTATCTACTGGTACAGGTTTGTGGATAAGTAGAATACAGCTGTATATTCCACAATCACCTAAAAGCAGTCATGGAACTCCTGAGACAAGCAGGCATTCTCATGTCAAGGGGAAGGATGCAACAATGGAACCTAGAGGATATCATGGCCAATTGATCTATTACTGTATTCTGAAGGTTATTCTGTGTTTACCCCAGAAACATGAGCCGTCATTCTTGTTGGGTGCTCCTGCTGGCAGAGAGTAAATCTGTGTTGGCATACTAATGCAAGATCCTTTGATTGCACAAGTGTTTCTAGTAAACATGAGGTGCCTGTTATGAATAGTTAATGTCTGCAAAAGATTTTCCTTCTTACCTCATTGTGGAAGTGGCAAAAAGAATGAAACAGGTCATGCCACTTCTGCTGTGCAAGGTGATTCTATAGAATCCTGGCCATAGTAGCTAGGAATGGGTTATCACAAAAGATAAAGACAATAGAAAAATTGAGAGAGAGGAGGCAGAGAGAAGGCTCAGATCACCAGTTAGAGAGGCTTGGGGACCTAATGCAGCTTCTGTTCTGAATAACCAGGTTATGGCAGAATCCCAAAAAGGGATGGGAAAAGCTGATCTTGATATGTTACTTTGATTCATTATAACAGTACTGATTGGAAAGCCTTTAGAATACTACATGGTAAGTTAGATTTAGCCATACTCAGTGTTACCCACAGTTATACTCGTGTTACTCACTTTCTGTGGTACTGCAACTGACAGTGAGTAGCTTTTCTGACTGAGTAGGAATAAACAATGATGATGTGCAGCCACCGTGTGCCCTGTGTGATTTATTTGGAGTGGCACAATACCACAAATTCAACAGTAGGATACAAGAGCAGGGGTCAGTACACATCTTGACAAATTTGTTATTTATAATTTATCCAAACAAGGATGGAGGTTTTGTATTCTTATTCTTGTTTCCAGCAATATGATTATTTAGTAAAGATAAGAACCCATTCTGCACAAATGGGACATCTGCAAATACAAAAAGGCTTTCATCTCCTCTCCCTTGTAGCTCCTGTGCTTCCTTTCTAGATCTATTCCCGAAAGTCCCCCTGACCTTCCAGAGTAGAGAGCATGAAGGGAGCTGGAGCTCCACTCCTCTAACCTGTTTTAATGGTACATGTTCCATTGCAGGGAAGGATAAATTGGATACTATCCAAAATTGCATCGCATTTTATTTTCTAATAGCATTTTACCTGTTTCTGGAACCTCAGGCTCAAGCCACTGTTTGCTGTTTGGTTGCTTCTGATAAGCTAGCAATCTACAAGTTAACAGAATAAATTATTTCTATCCACAGCAAACTTTTCAGGCAAAATTAATAATCTGCAGCTTTGGTGATGAAAATGGAATTTATTTAAAGTTACCTGAATGGTGTTTGGTTTTGCAATCTTGTTACAGATGAAATCTGGGCAGGTTTTGAAATATTGGTTCCTGCTGTATCATTGCATTTCTAAAACAAAGACCATATTTCAGGTGAATAAAAATATAAAATAGTAACTGCATATTGGCTTTTCCATATGCTATAGAAATACCATCTTCTTGGCCTCTATAATTTTCAAACATTATTGTTTGCTACCATCCAATTTGCTACTTTTGCCTCCAATAAAAAGAATTTGAAGAAATGTTTTATTAAGTCAGATGACTGGTTGATTAAAATACTGATTAAACATGCAATTTCTTTTCTATGCAAATTACATCATTTGTTAAAGAAACAGCTCTTCTACAACAGTCTTCCAAGGAAAATGTAAAATTATTGTTGTTGTTTAGTAGTTAAGTCATGTCCGACTCTTCGGGACTCCATGGACCAGAGCACACCAGGCCCTCCTGTCTTCCACTGCCTCCCGGAGTTGGGTCAAATTCATGTTGGTCACTTCGATGACACTGTCCAACCATGCAGAAAAAATATGTTTGAAATGAATGAATGAATGAAAAATAAATCTTTGATTGTATAAACTTTTTGTGCCATTGTTTGGAAAATGTAAATATAAATTTAATTTACTTATTAGGTTTTAGGTTTTCATGTTATTGCTAGACTAGCAGAAACATCAAGTAAGAGTTTCCTAAGAGAACAAAAATAGTCAAAACATAAATGTTTAGAAACATATTATTTACTAGACAGGGAAAATGAGTTCAGAGTCTATGACATTTTACATTACAGTAGTACATAAAAGTGGTATAGCAAGACAAGGTTAAAGAAGCTGAATCTGTCAGTTTATTTGATACAAGACCCATATGAGTGAGTCACCGACACCATAGTGAAAGTTTTGGTATTAATTTAATATTTAAATAATTTTAAATTTTTATAGTCATCTTAATTTATCACTGTAATGATTGTTGTGACATTCAGCTCTTGAGAAGGTGGCATATAAATGTTTGAAATTAATGATTTTTAAAAGATCAGAATAAAATTTGTCCACCAAGGTTCAAATGACTTGTTTGTTTGGTACATAAGATGAAATAATGTGCAACAGGACACCTTTTTTTCTATAACATAATCTTTAAGATGACAGATACAACATTTGTAACCATAACCCTTTCATGTCTTACCAATTGTCTTATGTCCTTTCCATTTTATATACCTGATTTTCACTTTCCACGTGGCTGAAGTACACACTGGTCAACGTTGAATGTTCTACAATATTTTCTTTCTCTTCTACACCTATATTTTTAATATCAGTTTAGGATTATTAACCCTATGCTATTGAGCTGCATTATCAAACAAAAGAAAACATAACTGAGGTAAAATTAATATAAGCACAAAATCAGCTATACAATGGCAGGTTCATCAGTTTCTTTAAGAACAGATGGATGCTCAGAATGCAGGCAAAATTACACGCATACTGTTAGATACACTGAATAGCATTAGATCTGTTTGAATTTGACATGTTCCTGAATGTTATATCTGCCCCATTCTAAACATGTTTCTCTTCCTCTCCTCTTAAAAAAGTATTTTCAGGCCTTCCCTTATTTCTATCTGTTTGCTCTACCAAAATAAATATAAATTTATTTTATGAAAGCAAAGTGTGCAGCTTATTTACCACCACATAGCACATAAAACACTCAATTTAATTATGTAGGCTACACATTGCCCCCCCCCTTTGCAGGCTAGGTACTCTATTCATTTTTCTCTTCCAAGGGTGTAATGCTGAGTCAACCTCAGGACTGTGCCTGACCCCACTGGGATTGAACACAGGTTGTGAGCAGAGTCTTAACTGTAATACTGCAGTGTAACCACTACACCATGAGGCTTTTATTATATAATTTTTGGCAGACTGGCTGTGATATAAACATTATTGTCATTACTATCCATCATATAACAAGCATTTAAAAAAGATTTATCTGGACTGGAGCTACACTTCCACATCATCTTTACCCTTTTACCTTGTTTAACTTTAAAGTGCCTAAATAGGACTTTAAAAATATGAGGATCTTGGATACAAAATGTGGCATGCACAGAGAGGTCCATGTCCTGTTCTAGATACAGTAAAGAAACTATTTCAAGATAATTAAAACAGCTTCCATGAAACTGCCATGTCCCGCTCTATTGTCAGTTCCATTGACCAGATAGGCGGGATATAAATAGAATAAATAAATAAAATAAATAAATTGTTCATATGTGGAAAGTGACCTTCTGAAAAGGAGAGCTTCCCCAATGTGTGAAGGTTCTCTGAGCAATCAGAATCCTGATTTGCCAGTGTTCCTGATACCACAGAGAACCTCTGTTTATAAAGAGAGCTCTCCTCTCCACTGAAATTCATTGAAATAATGGTAGAGGGGTGGAGTTACTGCACTCCTTCCCAGATTTTGGAACATCTAAACAGAACTCTAGTTATCCAGGTACATGTGTTTATATAAATGTCTAATTACATGATGTGATAGATTAAAACTTTCCCTTCCTCCTAAAACTAAAAATAAAAGCTCAAAGTATTTTTATTACTGTACTTTTTGCTGTCCCTGCATGTTGAAACATTGGCTTCACAGTTGGTATACGATGGACTTCTTTCCGAGAAATGCTAGGAAGGTGCAATGATGTATATTTTTGCTGCTTCTCATTGAACAAATGATGATTCTCTTTGAGCACGCTGAAAGATAGGAAATTCTACAATTAAAGCAAGATTGCCAAGAAGAAAATAGGTAGAAATGCCACAAATCTGAATTTACTGAGGTAGAATGCAGAAGAGGAAGTACGTCATCTCAGCATAATCCAGAACTATATAGTATGTTCTATCTTGATCATACCACATTGAAACATCACATTGTAATGGGTTTGATGTAAATGTGAGAAAGAGAAAAGATATGATAAAAGGTTTTAGTATGTTATATATACAGAGAAATGTTTATTACTAAGCTAAATATATTCAGATTCATAGTTTCTACCTGCAAGTTTGTATCCTACAAAAATGTAGTTCTACCTAATTCATGTATATCATTAGAATGCACTGCTGTATACAGACAATCCTATGCTGACTGCATGATCAGTATGTATATACAGCCTAATACTGTACAGAAAAATCTAATTAACAGATGTAATGGTCCTGTTGCATTCAGTGAGAGGGAAAATACTTCAAATTTCAGCAAAATCAGAACATCAACCTTAGATTGGAGCTAAGTACATTAAGACAGAGATGATGCTTTCAAAAACAAGTATTACTTATTCTACGAAGAGCAGTGATGACTTGAACTGATATTGAAAATGAAAAATGATACAACAGCAGCCAGGAGTGTCCTCTGTTGTTTGTAAGGTGATCTGAAGTGTTGCATTGCCATTTGGATGTTAAAGAAACCTCTTCTTTCTACTGAGTTTTCATCATATGTATAGCACAGATGTTGTTAAATTATTTCAGTTTTGAAATGTACTTCAGTTTTGATGATTTGGGATTAACAGAAGAAAAATTTAAGCACCCTTTCAGACTACCTTAATACTTTGGGCAAAACCTAGGTTTTTAAAAGTGTATAAAACTAACACAACTTTGCACTGTAAGATTTGCCTAAAGGTTTATATAGGATTCTAGAAGTTTGTTCTCAACATTAGTCTATTTAAAAATGCTACCTTCCATCTAATTCTGTCCCTGTTTCTAGATTTCTCTCAGTTTCTCTTGATGCCACTTCAAGGTGATTTTGATCTTCAGGATGGCTTTGATCTTGTGCAATTTCTTCAAGTTGCTAAACAATAAATAATAGTGTGGTAATTTTATGTAAATGACATGTAATAACTTTTATTCAAATAGTAGAAGCCACTACTTTAGATAATTCAACTCCACGTTATTGAGGTTTTTAAAGTTTTAAACTTTGAATTGAACAAGGAAGAAGATTAGCACTTAGTGCAGTTTAAAAAATATTAACATGAAGTATATTGGTTAGTCATAGTTAGCAGTCTCTCAACCTTACAGTATTTTGGCCTGTTTTCAAAGACAGGGCCTATAGAAAACCTGTCATCACAGGCATGATCTTTTAGCTACCATCTCCATGATGGAATAGGCTTTCAAATGGTCTCTAAGTAAAGTTCGGCATGGTAAGAGTTTTCCTCCATTTTCAATATAAATGTTGCTCCTTCTGACTTATTTCCCAAAGCTTTCCAAGAAATCTATAGAAATCTCTCACTAAAAAGTATCTGGAGAGAGAAGGAAAGATCATCTAGGAGCTAAACTACATACTGTACATACATTAAACACATAGCATGCAGTTTGGGATCTCTTTATCTTTTTTTCTCAAGTAAGTAAATCAGGATCCAGTTGGGTCTGGGAATACAATTTGCTGGTAGGGAAGGTTTAAACCTCCTTCTGCCAACTATTCCTCTTGCCTACCTTTGGTTTTTATAGCTAGGGGACATTTAAGATTCCTATCCTCAAATGATTGTCCAGATCAAGAGCTCATATAATAACTCTGGAGTAAAACAGAAAGAATCTAAACGCCACACAATGTATTTAACTTAATCTGTACCTTAGCTATAATATCAACTGAACAAGTTTCCTGTTCTTAAGAACCCAGTAGAATTTAAACAGTATAGTCTGCAGGTCAGCTAAACATTCCCTCCAGGGGTATCTGGAAATCATGCAAATCTGTCAATCCTTTAGAAGCAGATTATTTTAGAGTGTGACTAGACAGCCAAATTATCCCAGCCTGGATTGGGCTGGACAGGGCTAAACAGGGTTGCTTTGAAATGCAAAATGTCATATGAGGCAAGCTTGCATCCACATCTCAAGCAATCCCTTTTGGCCCCTTTTTCCATTTAAAGGGAAAAAAAAATAACAAGCAAACAAACAAAAAAGGTCATGGAAGGCTGGAATGTCTCATGGCTCAGGATAAGCTACGTTCAGACATAGTTTTTACTGCAGAGTTTAGAATTACTGGTGTATAATTCTTTTTGCCACACAGCAGAAGTATAGAGATTCAGAGATGTAGCTTCAAGTTCTCCAGATAGTCCACCCCTTTCTCATTAATTGGTACTTAAGGTCTCAAAAACTAATTCTGAGACATTTGTAGGAGAAAGAATAAGAACATTTCATGACTTACCATTATGAATAGATCAACAGCAAACTAAACAACCAATTGCTTCCAACAGATTGAAGAGGGAAAGAGAAGCACAGCAGAGAGGCAGAGCTCTTCAAGTTTAGAGGTAGGAAGGAACACTTGGTTAGTGCTGGACAGATTGATTGTCACCCAGCCTAGAAAAGTTCCTCCCAGTCACTCAAACCACAGGCAGCATGTGAGGTTGTAAAAACTCTGATGGTTTGTTGCTGCAAAAGGGAAGTGTTCCTGGTGCTTGGCAGGAACTGGAAACAAGCTCAGTTTATTCTGGGACATGAGGCTTTCCAGCTCTCATGTCCTAATTTTGTCGGATGACAAAAAATTTAAAACTTTAGGATTTTGGTGTTAGTCCTATAACTGTATCAACTGCATTCTAAACAGGAAATTTAGAATAATTCCTGTCAGGCCCTTAAGAGTAAGAAATTTGAAGGTTTTTTTAGACTGGATAAAGATAGGGTTCTGCTTCTTGAAATATGAAGATATTAAGCAACTCTTTCCTCTACCCATATTTCTATGGACAGTCAGCTGCTGGAGAGCAGAAGGCAGAAAAAGCATCCAGAGATCAGAAATTCAGTGAAACAATAGATCACATACACTGTGCAGTCTCATATATGTGCTTGGGGCCTCTTCTCCATCTTTATCAACTTATAGGAAATCACATATTACTTTTTAAAAATAAAATGTTATGTTGTAGTAATAGAATAGAAACAGTAACAATACCTAGAAACAACACTAAATATAAAACTAAGAACATTACAGAATCCGTATTGATTCAGGCTCCAAGCAATGCAATACGATATATCTTTATCCACTGCAACATGATACTGTAGTCTTTCAGCACAGACTGTAACATAAATAGAATTTAACAACAGGCTTTTACCTGTTGGAAATAATTCATTTTCTTTTCCAGCCCTTCTACAGTTTTGTCTAGCTCAAGTGATTGCTGCCTGAGATCCGCTGCATGCATAAGAGTTTCCTTTGTGTTTTGCCTCAAAGAAGCACTTTGTTAGGTTAAGGGATCGATAAAACATGAACAGTAAACAACCAAGTAGCAGGCTAAATAGAGCCACTATTCAATTGACAACCACGTATGAAGTGTTCATTTGGATTTAAGCTATTCAAATAATAGACTTATTCAAATGTGCATGCGACTTAACTTTACTACCTTCATCTTCCATCCAAATTCAGCCATGGTTGCAGTGAATGGTCTTGACTGAATTGTTTGCTGTTAGGCCAAAGAGAAATCTATATGGTGTACTAGAACCAAAATGGGAGATTTTAACAGTGGCATGCAAAGCAGTACTTAGTGACTGAGGACACATCATAGGCTCTGCTCAGTCTGTATTAGGGGAGGGGGAAGAAACATACTAAAGGCATATCGATTGTGTGACATCAACTGGCGTACAACTCAGGCCTTAGTACTTCAATTTAAGCTGAGAATGGTACCTTAAAAAATTTAAGTATGAATGTGGTCCAAATTCTGATTACATATCTTTCAATAAGATAAGCTTAAATTCTGCTTCTATAAATCTTCTAAAAATTATATTAGTGATCATATTATCAGAATTGAGCACATTTTGAATAAAACAAGACTATGAAAAGGATTACTATAAATAAATCCAAAATTTTACTATGTTTTAAAATCAGTTTCTTAGTTTACTTACTTTATTAAGTTAAAATAAGCCAAAGTTTAACTAATGCATTTCACTTACTCATGGTTTGTTTTGATGACAATTTTTAAAATATAGGTTTTGACTAGGGTTAAATAGACTCTGTAGGAAATAAAGGATAATCTGTGTACTTCCAACTGAGTAACATCTTTTTACTATAAACAATAAAACAATGAAATACAACAAAGGCAGCAAAATACTATTTCTCATAAAAAGGCACTTGGAAAATTGATGGTATGGATACATATGTAGTGCCCACGATGAAAGTGACAAAAATGGACCAGGTTCTGGAAAAGAAAATATTAATAAATTAATCTCATTTAGGCATTGAGATAAAATCTCATACCAAACAGACACTTCCCCGCACTCAAATACCCCATGCTATAGGGCATCATATATTCCTCTACAACAAGCAAGTAAATTATGTTGTCTGTCAACTGTCTCCCCTTCCCTTAATTATTTACTTCATTTAGAAGAGTCTACTGAAAAGACAGTGGAACCAGTTAAGAATCCAACTAAAATATAAGCGGGGGGGGGGGAATTCACACCCAGTTTATTGCAGATTAGTAGTAGTACTAGTTTGTTAAATTTTATCCTTTTATATCTTACCTTTTGCATATTACAGTACATTAGAATGATTGTTAAAATGCCCTTTTTGACAAGTCAGTTTAATTTATGGCACTTTCAAGTCATGCTAGTAAAGTCATTTTTCTGTGCAGAGCAGGGTTAAAATATTTGTTTCCAGTAAGTTATTAAAGAAGTGTTATTTGACTTAAAATATTATTTGGACATAATTGCTAGAGCCTTCACCCTTTAACACTCACAATAGCTCTAAAAATGGAATTAAATGCTCATGAATATTCTAGCAAACAGAAAGTAGCAGTCCATTGCTGGTACAACAGTTTTGTTAAACAAAGTTGCAAGTCTGATATCTTTTTCTTTTACGTTTCTCGTGGCCTCCTGCTCTTTAGATGGCATAAGGACACCAGAAAGACCAACAGACAGAGAGCCAGTGTTTCTCTATACACATGGTTTCCATGGTCCTTATCAAAAATGACTGGAGTTGAGCTAGAGATAGGAATGTGACAAATGTGTCCATTTCATTGGCTACAGCCCTATTTGGATTTATGTTGGCATTATGCATAATGGTAAGCCACTTTTTAAATAGCTCAGATATCCCAATTAGGGCTGCAGTAAGTCAGAAGTGTCTTGACAACATGAAACAATTCATTTAAAAAAACACCTTGAGTTTACGAATGTGGAATATTGTGCTTCTGTACCCACGATGAAAAAAATCCAGGAAATGGCCTGAGATTGTTGTACAACATCATGTCTGCGTTGCCAACATGAAAAAGGATGCCAAGTTTTACATAGCAAAGGGCAGCCTGAATATTGACAACACCCATGGCAGCAGCCAAGAAAGTCCACAGGATACCCTCTTGTGCTGACTACTGTTCATAAAGTGACACCACACAAGGAAAAATCCTAGAAGCTGACTCCTTTTTTCACCAGTTCACCACTTCTCACCCAAACATTGAGCAACTGTCAGGGCTGTTTTTCAAAAAGAATAAATGGTCATCAGCAAAAGAGGGTGGCATGTGGGCTATCTTGACTGCTGCCATTTTAGATTTACCTGTTTATATTTCTCTATATTTTACTTAAGCCAACTAAGATATGGATGCTATGCCTTTACCTTGAAGTTCTCTCAGTTTACACTCCTTCTGTTTGAATAATTCAGACATCTTCAGAACTCGGTTTTGGATCTCTTCAAATTCCTTTTTTTCCTGAATGTACTCCTGGACAATTGCAGTTTCTGAAAATTTTACTTCATGCTGCTTAAAAGTTGCCTTATACTGATTCATATAATCCTGGTACATTTTTCTTTTAAAACAAGAAAATGGGTCATCTTTACATGTTGTTTAAATACATTTTCAAAACATAAATAAGGTTTCAGTTCTGACTAGCTAAGGTGGCTGATAGCCAGCTGAACTAGCTTATATCAGCTGGAGCTGTGCTGAATCCAAACTTCTGCATGATGGAAATTATTTAGAACTACCCTTACCTTACTTCCTTGAATGGGTTTGAGTGTGTCAGAGAAACTAAGAGTAATGATGTTAGGAAGCTATAGAAAAGGTAGCCATGTTAGTCTGTGCTAGCATATTCAGGAAAAAACAAAATAAAAATACTAAACAATAAATATATTTTTGTCTGCATTATTTTTAATTTTCCATTTGTTTTTGCCTGATATGTTAGGAAGCTAGACTCCATTACAAGCCTGGATTCCCAGAAGCAGCATCCAAGGCAGAATAGTCAAAGCTTTAAAAGTCAGTAAAAATGTATCCACCCTCTTCAGTGGTTTCAGCAGGAGAGAACAGATAGCTGCAGTGATGAAATAATAATATGTTAGAACTGCAGAGCTGGAAGGAGTGCTATGGATCATTGAGTCCAGCCCCTGTCAAGGGATGTGAGTAGAGAAACTCCTGAAGGGCAGCTACATGGCAGTAGTCATAATTAAAAGTATGCTGGCAGATGATCTTGAAGAGGACACTGGCAGACAACAGCAGTGACACTCGAGCTCATTCTATTAGTACTGCACAAAAGAAAGCAATGATAAATCACTACTGAAATTTTCTTACCCTAAAAAGCCTATAAAGAGACAATCTGAAATGAAATAAAAGGTAGTGGAAGATGAGACTCTGAAGTTAGAAATCACTCAGGCCCTGTTTTCTAGTTCCAATACTTCCCACACTTCTGTTGTACTAAATCACGGTCACATAGTTTATATCCTGAGATGGTATCCCAAGAACTTTTAGCAGTACCAATTTATTTTCTTCAAGTTGAATCGTTATGGTCCACTACACCATGGTACTGGTTTATTTACTCTCTTGCTTCAAGGGGCAATTTAGCTCCTTATATACTGTATGTATAGCCCCTTGATTTATATATCAGATTATATATATCAGTGATCCCCAACCTTTTTAGGGCTGCGGACTGGCTGGGGGGAGTGAGCTCCATGAGCGGGGGGGGTTGGAGGCACCCCCATGCTCATGCGGTGGGCATGTTGTGCCTGTGCCTGTGTGTTGTGCTCTCATGCATGGATGTGAGCGCAACATGCCACCGCCTGCATGTCACGCCCACTGCAAGCGTGATACACCCACTGCGAGCATAACACGCCCCCTGCATGAGGGTGTGGGGCAGATCTGGACAAAGTGCAGCCCATGGGCCACATATGGCCCACGAGCCGCTCCTGTCCAGCCCACCAGTCGTCGCTCCAGTCCTTAAAAAGTTTAGGGAATTAACTATGTCAGCCTTGTAGTTTGTTCACTGCAGGGCCTCACCCAATGGGGCTTATTACTACCCACAAATTGGGGGCCTATTACTACCCAACTAATGGGGGCCTATTTTTAAGTAAAGTTAGTTCGGCCCCCGAACACAGTTCAGATTTTTCATGTGGCCCCCTATAGAAATTAATTGTCCACTCCTGGTGTGGGGGGCTGGTAGAGATCCATATTTGCGGCCCAGTTCTGGCAAGCCCACAGACCGGCACTGGGCCACAGACTGGGGGTTGATGACCCCTGGTATATATTTTATATATATAATGTGAAAGGTATGACTCAAGATAAACTGGAAACTGTATAGCTAGAAAAATTACACTAATTGTTATGAGCAAACTAAAGTGGACTGTAATAGAACATTTTCAGTCAGAATACCAAAAAGTAAAAGGTGACAGAAGTAGGGTTAGAATCCATAATGAGGTTCTTACATACATTGTGTAAAAGTCTGAAATTATATTAAGACAGCATGCTGAATTTCAGCTAGAAATAAATGAGAACTCTTGCCCATCTTAATTATTTTTAGTGATAAGATGCAGCTTGGTATGTTTAGCAGGTACCTCTAAGTGTTGTAAAACTTTCTCTGTGAAAGTATATGCATATACTATTTACACATCTAGAATGGTTATACATAGTAATATACTGTATAGGCAATGTACAGAATGGTTATAAGCAGTAATGCTTTGTGCAGTTATTCTGGACATAAATATTGTTATGTTATAAATATAACTTTCATACTTATCTTTTTCTGTTGTTTCTTGACAGTCCTGAAGTTTTTTCTGCAAATATTCTTCATGTTTATTAAGAATCATATATGCTGGTTTCCAGCTATGGCAGCAAGTTCAACACCACAGTAAATATGTATTTGTCAAAACACTGCATTTTAAATATCATGAAAAGTAACAAAGCCATCAAAATCAAGGATCATTCCCATCCTTGGAAGGAAAGTTTTTCAGCAGAATTCTGTTTACATTGTCAGTGTATATAGTGATATAAAAACATTGTTATAGCATGCCGTGATTCAGTATCCTGGGATACAACTTTGGATAATATTAATCTTTTGGAGCTCTAATTGCAGCTACCAGGTTTTTGCTATGCTATTAGGTTCAATAGAATGAAGCTTATAACCAATATCAAATTCAATAGTATTCAAACATGCTGTACTAATTTATTTAGATTAAAAAAATAAAATCCAATGATTTGTTTATATTGCTAAAACAAAAAATATTTTTATTCATCAAAAATATTTCTAAAAACTCAGTGGCAGAATTACATTTTTCATTTGTATAGCAGTTTTGTTCAAATCTTAAATCTGTCACCAGATCTTTCCCATGTGCTTTGGATGCCTGTTGTTCTACTGCTATGTCTGTCATCTGCAAATAGAGATAATAAACTGACTGTTCTGCCTTACATAGCTCTTTTTTAATATAATGAAGGCACACAAAGTCTCAGAAAGTTGTATTAATAAAAACAATTTTGGCAGTATGCCTCTATGTGTGACTTGGGGAATGTGAGACGGGGGTTGCAGTTTAGTTGTGTCCATAGCTTATTGTCTGGCCATGGGGCGGGGAAAACTGTGGGCTTTTTTTTCTGGTCCAGCAGGGCCTATCAGGCTGCTGTGAAGGTAAGCAAAGCTATCCCATAAGATCTACTGAAAAGCCAACTCCATTACTTGCTCTATTCACTGTCACCTAGCAACATTCACTCATAAGACTAGAGGGAGTGTTGGAAAGCAAGGCAAATCCATCAACAGCTAAGAAATTAAGGACTTCTGGCTCCTTTTCCACTCCAAGCGGTTGTTATAAAAACTTTTAAACTTTGTGTGTTTAGTCGTTTAGTCGTGTCCGACTCTTCGTGACCCCATGGACCAGAGCACGCCAGGCCCTCCTGTCTTCTACTGCCTCCCGTAGTTGTGTCAGGTTCATGTTGGTTGCTTCGCCGACACTGTCCAGCCATCTCATCCTCGGTCTTCCCCTTCTCCTCTTTCCATCACACTTTCCCAACATCAGGGTCTTTTCCAGGGAGTCTTTTCTTCTCATTAGATGGCCAAAGTACTGGAGCCTCAGCTTCAGGATCTGTCCTTCCAGTGAGCACTCAGGGTTGATTTCCTTTAGAATTGATAGGTTTGTTCTCCTTGCAGTCCAGGGGATTCTCAAGAGTCTCCTCCAGCACCACAATTCAAAGGCATCAATTCGTCGGCGGTCTGCTTTCTTTATGGTCCAGCTCTCACTTCCATACATCACGACAGGAAAAACCATAGCTTTGACTATTCGGACTTTTGTTGGCAAGGTGATGTCTCTGCTTTTTAACATGCTGTCATGGCTTATAAATGTCATAAAATATTATAAAATACAATAAAACAACATAATCATTAAACAATTAAATCAATAATATGGTGTGTTCAAAATGGGGAATGATAGAAAAAAAGATAGAATTCAAGGACTGACAGAAGGGAAGGCCTGCCTAAAGAGCCTAAAGAGCCAGGTGGATCTCTGTTGGAAGACTATTCCATAGTCGAGGGGCCATTGCTGAGAAGGCCTGGTTTCTAGTTCTTTCTTTCTGGGCCTCTCTTGGCGTTAGGCCCCTCAACCGTCCATCCTGGCTGTGCCGAGTAATTTGGGTAGATCTAGGTGGGAGAAGGCGATTTGCCAAATATCGAGGTCCCAAACCATTTAGGGCTAGTGTCAGAATTTGTTTGCTTTCTTTTTATTCTTCCAAATCCCCTTTTGTGTTGCTTCATTCAGATTGCCTAAAGAAAGGCACTATTTTATTATTAATATTTGCAAACCAATCTGTTGTTATTATATATTGTGAAGTTGCGTCTAACTAGGGTGACTAGTGAATGAGTGACCCTCAAAATATTCTGTAATTAACAGTCATACTCAGCTTTTGCAAACTCAAAGGCATGGGTTCCTTTACTGAGACAATCCACCTCATATTTGGTCTTCCTTTCTTCGTGGTGCCTTCAATTTCTCCTAATATTATTGCCTTTGCCAAAGTTTTATCTTTTTATACGCTTTTTATACGCTCAAAGTGCAGCAGCCTCAGTTTAGTCACTTTTCTTCTAAAGAGAGTTCAGCTTGATTTGATCCAGGACCCATTTGCAAAGTTATCGTCCGGCCAAAACAGAGACCTATAAAGAAGCTTTGAAAAATATCCTTCCCCTGCACTAGATATTGTTTGGCCCTTAGTGTTTAAACTTAAATTTCTGCTCAGTTGTTGTCATATGTTTTTTTCCTTAACATTTATTACTTTTCGGTTGAGGGACAGAAGGTTGAGAGATTTTTGATTTGAGTGTGAACTACCCAGAATAGGGGACATCCACTAAATGAGCAATATAGAAATGGAATGAACAAACACACAAATATTTTGAATGAATTTATTTTCTCCCTCATTGGCTTTCACATTCATACAGAGCAATTGGGAAGACTTTAATGTTGATGATCTTGGCCTTAGTCTCCAGTGACACATCCTAGCAGTGGCTCCTTGTCCAGAATATGGGCTACTCATCAAAACAATCAATAATTGAGGTACACCCATTTCTTTTAGAATGATCCATAGGTTATCATGATCTATAGAGTCAAAGGCTTTGCTGTAACTTAAAAAGCATGGACTGATCTTCAAAAATTATTTGATATGCTCCAATAATCAATGTATATTTGCATATGACCTCTGTGCCTCTTCCTTTTCAAAATCCAGCTTGCATCATGTATCATAGAAGTCTTTGTTACAATACCTTAAGCATTACTCTGCTTGCATGGGAATTTAATGCAATAGTCCTAAAGCACTCTTTTGGCAATTGAAATTTATGTCGAACATTTCTAGCCTGTGATTAATGCAATAGTCCTAAAGCACTCTTTTGTCAATTGAAATTTATGTTGAACATTTATAGCCGGTGAGCCATTATTTTCCCCCCATATTTGTTGGCATATTCTTGTTAGGATTTTGACAGATCTATTCTAGGAGACTTTTTATCTGAACAAAATATTTAAATTATTGTTAAAAATAAATTGAAACAAATAAGAACTTGGGCAAGAATTCTGTTAGCTTTTTATGTGATTGCACGTGAAAGCATACTAAAACAAGCTGATAAAGTGGCACTTGTGTGTTTCTTTGGGCAACCGATATCTTTTTAATTAGTTTCAGTTTTAGGTGCTATGACTTTGATGTGTTTGTTTAAGTGTGTCTAAAAAGCCAACAGGATCCTAGCCTTACTACTGGTTATATATTGTTTATAATTGTACATGTTAAATTATTGTTGGATTACAATTTTAACATTATAGGAATTTCTAACACATACTTACGCATTGCAGTTCTCCTTACTATTATTATTTTGTTTCTGCAGGCTGAGTATCACCTCATCATTTTTGTGAATATCTTCTTGCAGTCGACAGATTTCACCTTTTTTCTCCAAAATATTTGCAGCATATACTGAAAGATAAATATTTTCTTTTGTTCTATAGTTAGAATCATCCTCTGTAATATAACTGATAATACTAGGACCATGAAGAGCCAGATCTAAATCTAGAGTGCTGACTCACTACTTTTCTCTTGCTATAGGTTATTATAAATGTATTAGTTTACTGTATAAAGGCATTTCTTTACTGTCTTTCACTCCTAATGAGGTTTCTTGAAGCAGTTTATTAGAACATTATACCAAAGACAAAAACAACAACAACATTCCACCACAATTTGAATGGGAACAGAATTAAAACATTGCTATTATAGTATATGTTCTTATCTGCTTATTTCTGTGAGGTGGTCCTTGTTACTTCCTAACCACTATAAATTAAACAATCATTGTTAATATGATCTTTTTTTTACTTTTAACATTTTAATTTCTCCATGCCCCCATGTTCCAAAACATGTTTATAAATATCCACCAACAGAGACAGCACTCCATGCACCTGATGGGTTGCAGTCCACAAAAGTGTAAGTCATAAAAATACATTAGTTTTAAAGTTGCTGTGAAACTCTTTTGTTTATGTTCCTTGCCTAGACAGAGACAGTTACACAACAGTCTGCAAACTGCACATAGTTCTCAAACAATTCAGAACTGTACATCTAGGCAATGAGGTTGGTATAAATTTGCCAAGGCTACAGCCTCATTTGGCTACTAATACTGCTACTATGTAGCAGTAGCTATTATGTTAGTAGTAACATAAGGATACTGTAAAAGTTACATGTAATTATAAGATTATATAACTCTTAACCTATAAGGCCCTAAACAGTTTCGGACCTCAATACAGTATGTGCCAGAATACTTCCTTCTAATTAGATCAGCTCATCCTGTAAGATATTTTCAGGCCAGATGGTTGAGAGTTTTGACCTTGAAAGAGGCCTGGAAAATCCACAACTCTGGAATAGTCTCCTGCCTGAAATTCGCCTGGCCCCTTTATTGGGAACTTTCAAAAGACTATTAAAAACATGGCTGTTTAGACAGACCTTCCTGGACTTTAGAACATCTTGATACAGTGGTGCTTTTAACAACTACACTTTCGACCCTCATTCAAGCCATTCATTCTTTCAATTATTTTATTTTCGTTACTGTTGTATTTTGTTTTAAGTTGATAATTGTATTTGTTACAAATATTCTTTGTATTGCTGTTTTACAATTATGGAATTCGTAAACTGCCCAGAGTGGATTTAGTAGCCACAAGGGTGGTATAAAAATAAAATAAAATAAACAAACAAACATGTATTTTTATGCTAGATATGACAAGCATGCATTTGGAAGTACACTATATATGATACACTGCATCAATTAGAGCTAGGATTGACTGATGTTTTCTATCAACAGCATTTAACATCAAACCTGAATTCTTAGTTTTCTATGTCACACTCACTCAACAGAAAAAAGTGGTTGGTTCACCCACCAAGAAATATGCATATCTATACAGTACCTTTAGAAACAGACCGGGATCTCCTAGAATTCAAGACCACTGTCACTAGTAAGATGATGCAGGCCTAAGAGCATGCGCTCACAAGAATGTGTATTACCAATGGACAATCTTTGCTTCACAAGCCAGGTTCTGGCCAGTAGGTTTACCTATATGATTTGCTGCATCTTGGTCAAGAGCCCTGAAGCCATGTTCCTTTGGGAAGGAAAAAAGAGCAGGGAAATGACACTATATCTGTGTTGCATGTTGAGGAAATAATTCCCTTTCTTACCACCCTGTGTTGCATGTTGAGGAAATAATTCCCTCATAAACAGCACATAAACAGAGCAGTCTGGAAACTGAAAAACAACAACCTGTTTGGTGTCCATGTGGAATGGTGTGCATATATGTGGATGTATGTGAATTAATGCAGAACATATGTACATTTGTCTGTGTAGTATGTGTATCTTTGTGTGTGCATCTAGACAAAATTGCCAGCAATGCAACAGCCCAACCCACTGCTGGCATACAACTGTCAACCTACTTGTCAACAGACAATTTGGCTCTCTCGCCAAAAATCTTTGTTTTCCATGATATGCATGCAGCAAAGAACCTACAGTAATAAAGAAGAGGATGGAGCTGGATCAAGGTAGAATTGAGTGCATCTGGGAGACCCAGGCAGCAAAAAATGACAATGAACTGATGCATAGTATGGCTTTGAACTATAGTACTATCTTCTTGATAAATATTTATAAAGGCTACTCACACTTTATCTGTTGTCTCTCATGTTCCTTTGCATACGATGCTTGCTCAGTCTGAAAAACTGAAGCAGAAATATATATACCTTTGTTTTTAAATTAATAAGTCAGATATGAAAAAAGTGCATTTCAAATCACAGCTCAGCTGCTTCAATATTTTTTCCTAATTCTAACTGTAAAGTATTCAAGCAGTGCGTACTGTATATCACCTCTTAACAAAATTCATGATTGTTTTAGGGTTTCATAAAATTCTGTTGTTTTTATCATACAGACTGCAATCTTTCTCCCACTCAGTGCTTGCCCTGCAAGAGCAGCTGGCCTTGCCTCCTGGGTTCCGAGTGGCTGGGGAGTCCCCATACAATAACCCCATGGGTTCCAGGTGAGATTTTTGAATCTCAATAGCTTTCATTAACAGAAAAGAACATATACCAATGGTCCTGTCTTCCTCCATCCCCAGAGGGTTGAATTTCTGGCACTACTCCCCACTCCGCTGTACAGTCTACCCAAGTGGGACACTGGCTGACTTCTCTGGGGCCACTGAAAGTTCAGGTCCAGCAAAATTGGAGGGGAGAATGAGGTTTGGTTGGGGTCACAGCCAAGAGAGCTGGTAGAGGTGGATGCGGGAGACCAGGGTCTGTCAACTTGTTCTTCCTGAAGCTTCCTTTGGGATTTCCATTGGCGCTTGTACCTCTAGTGCCAGAATTGGGTTGGGGTGAGTGCTGTAGCTCACATCAAGTGGCGAGAACACAAGATCCCACACTAGAATACGCGCGAGCAAAGCAAAACAAAAATACACCATATCCCAGCAGTGCTGTAAAAATCCCCAGAAACAAATATTTTTAGCCCCACTATTGCTGACATTAGTTTCAGCCCTATGCTGTGTGCAGTACTGGCATCACTGGTGCAAGTAAATTTGAACAAATTCTCCTGGGGATGTTCTGTCAGACTCTTGATGATAACAGGGGAAAGTTTTTGTGTGATGATGAACAATGTATGAGCCTCTACAAAACTCCTGTCATCCTGTGGCTCAGCAAGATTCCTCACCAACTGTGTCAGTGCATTTTTCAGTGATCAAGGGTATTTGCATATGATGCATACTTCGTTGCTCACTAGTACATTTGAGGAATGTACAAAAAATCCATTTAATTTAAATCCATTTAATTTGGAGAACTGAAAACTGAGGAATGTTTTCAAATTAAAACCCTGCAACATACCAAGCTGTACCAGCAATTTATCCAGGTTGCTGAAGACCATGTCATTCATTTTGTTACCTGCATGAAAAGAATTTGTTTAAAATGGTTAATGCAAGCATATATGCACAATTACATAAATGATAACCCAATGAAGCTAAGCAAAACTTGCAAGTTATGTGTGCAGAATATCTTACCTAAAATGTTTCTGTCAAAACAATCCATTGTATACAGTAAGTTAGTACAGTAATTAGTACTTTCACCAATGTAGATGAAAGTTTTATGAAAGAAGAAAAACTTATGCCTGCATTAGCAGATTGATGGAAAATCATTCACTGTACTTTAGGCATATGTTCCTACTGACTAGCATTAACTGGATCATTTCCATTACTGTTCATGACTAAGAACAATTAGGTTTATATGTTCCTTTGATCTAAATTACATTGTAACTCTGGATAAAGTGGACTTGTCTCCAAAATCTCACATTAAAAAATAAAAGTTAGTCTTTAAGGTGCCACCACGTTTTTGCTTCTGTTTTACTTTTGATTTTTACTTTGTTTTCACCTATAACTGTAATTTACAATTGTAAACTGCAATTTACAATTGTAATTGTAATTCTGCATTCACAGAAATTAGATATACATTGTCTGTGGTATGTGACATTTCATTAAAACCATGAACCTTAAATAATCAATCAGAAAAAGGTGATTCATAGAACGATAGAATTGTGTAACAGGAGCATTTTAACTTTGTAAATTTCCATAGATTTCTGGAAAAATATGGATACAGCTAGCTGTTGACTTGGAAGCTGAGACTGCACCTCTCTCTCTCTCTCTCTCTCACACACACACACACACACAGAGAGAGAGAGAGAGAGAGAGAGAGAGAGAGAGAGAGAGAGAGAGAGAGAGAGAGAGAGAGAGAGAGAGAGAGAGAGAGAGAGAGAGAGAGAGAGAGAGAGAGAGAGAGAGAGAGAGAGGAGTTGTCAACCCTATTCGAAAGGAGCTAATCTTTCCTTCTCTACCCCCAAACATCTACTTTAATTTAACTTAAATATTTTTATGCTCAGAAAATTACACCTATTACAAATGTGAAATCAGCAGCTCTTTCTCCTTAAAAAAAACAACAACCCAAGGTGGCTTACATTAAAAACATAATATTAAAAGCTAAAAAACAGTAAATTTTTCAAATGTGAAGGAAAAATAAATAGCATTATTTTTAAAATATTAGGTAAACGCTTTAGGGAAAAAACAAATTTAGAAGCTTTTTTGTATTATATTCATTGATCACGGTCTTTTAATTGTTGTAAGCTGCCTTGGGTTCTTTTTAAGGAGAAAGGCGGGTTAAAATATGTTAAATAAATGTATATAAACAAACCTTCCCGTTTATTGTCTCCTAGACCGACAGCCTGTCACTAAGAAAAAGGCTTAATGAGGTAAATAAAAGGCTTAAAAAAGGGAGAGAATCGTGGATAAATATTTGGGTCGTATATATATCCGGTGGTTTTGTGGGGGACTTTTTGTTTGTTTGTTTGTTTGTTTGTTTGAGTATTATGCCTTAGTGTTAATACTGTCCTCGCACCGTTTTGGGGGTTGCTATTCGAACAGGCAAAAGGGCGGGAAAGGCTTCTGAGGAGAATTTGGCGTCCTCGTGAGAGGCTTCCTCTTTCGTCGCCTCAGGACTGAAAAGGGAACCCAGCTGAGGCGACGCCTCGCTGCTTTTTCCTGGCGGGCGCGAGCCGCCTCCGTCCCGCCTCGCGGAGCCCCTTTTTCCCGCCCTTTCTTTTCAACGGCTCTAAGGATGGGAAGAAGGGAATCCTCTCTGGAGGGAGGAGAGAAGCTCGTGGGAAACAGCTCCTCCCTGGGCGGGACAATGGCCGTCAATCTTGCCCTCAGAACTTGACACGAACCACTTGGAGGGCTAATAAATGGGGAGACAGTGAGGTTAAGGAAACTTATTCCAGAGTCTAGAGGTTTAGGGTTGCATTACTCCTGGACTGTACAGGGGTGTGTGCCTATGTGTGTGTGGTGTTCTCTGAAGCATATTATGGGATAGTAGGACAGGGAGCAAGTGTCTGAGACCAGTAGGATTGGGATTATGATTATAATTACCACACTAGGATTTGGTATAGTGTGGCTCAGGGATTCCCCAACCTTGGGTCAGCCAGCTGCTCTTGGATTGCGACTCCCAGAAGCCTTCATCCCCAGCTGTCTTGGCTGGAGTTTCTGGGAGTTGCAGTCCAAAAATAACTTGGTTTTTGTGCCATCACATCACCTCTGACATTTGTTGGCCCTATCAATGAGTGACTTCCAAAATCTCATGTCATTAAAAGTTCTGGTCAGCTCTTAGAAACTCAAGGCTGGGATTCCTTTATGGAATTAATCCTTCTGTTTTCCTGATGCCTTCAACTTCTCCTAACTTGTCTTTTTCAGTTCATTTTAGAAGAGGTAGCTGTATTAGTCTGTGCTAGCATGTCAGGCAAAATAATAATAATAATAATAAAAGAAGAAGACAAAAATGTTGTGGCACCTTGAAGACTAAGTGCAATATTTTAATGTGAGCTTTTGTGGACAAGTCCACTTCTTCAGATTTGAGTGTGGGACTTCATGACAAATATTTATACATGGTCCAAGTAGTTGATTTATACATGGCACAAGTATTTGATGATGTGGCATTTTACGCCTGGAAACTGGTCAAGACCCCCTGTTGATATTCACTTCCCCTTCCAGGAAGCATTGCTCAGAAAGCAATGGCCATGATTAGTGGATTAATTAATCCCAAAGTATAGATAATAAAAGGGAACAACATGGTAATGAGTATCAAAATCTCCAGTGGGGGTTGTGAGATGACACTGGGTAGTTAGAAAGGTAATATAGCTGGGAATTATAGCAGATGCTACATTTGATAGTGGCGTAAGCATTCTTGGTTTATATTGAGACCCACTGATATGGTTATATGAGTTCACTGGCTTATATTGAGTCCATTGAGTCTTAGCTATACAGTATTGAGGAATTACAGCAGATGCAGCATTTTATATTTGACAATGTCCTAAGAATCCTTGGCTTCTATTCTATAGCTGGGAATTATAGCAGATGCTACATTTGATAGTGGCGTAAGCATTCTTGGTTTATATTGAGACCCACTGATATGGTTATATGAGTTCACTGGCTTATATTGAGTCCATTGAGTCTTAGCTATACAGTATTGAGGAATTACAGCAGATGCAGCATTTTATATTTGATAATGTCCTAAGAATCCTTGGCTTCTATTGAGTCTATTGAGATGGGTTCACTTCTAAACATACAATATGTATATAATCTCAACTATCTCTCTGGATTCTTGTTTTGTATTTTTTTCTTCTTCAAAAAGGCAACTCTCAGATCTTGTGCAGAGGTATCAAACATCTATCTGATGATGTGCTCAAAATAAATATACTCACTTTTCTTATCTTTGCTTCTAGAGAGACAATACAGTGTATACTTGTTTACTTCATATGTCTGAGAAAGTAGATTGCAGTGTATAAAAGCTCATAATGAATAAATTTTTAGTTTTTTAAGTTGTAGCCGTGTTCATCTATGAAAGCATTTTAACAAGAAACACAAAACAAAACAAAAACACACTGATATATTTTAATGTAAACTTTCATAGTATATGTTTACTTCATCTGACAACTGGACATGCTTCATGAAATGTTACATTAAAATATAGCAGTCGGTCTTTAAAGTGCTTAAAAGTTTTATGTTTTATGTTTCTTGCTGAAATGAAATATTTTTTCTCATAAGTGCCACAATGCTTTTGTTTTCAGTTTTTTAATCCATGCTGAACCTAGACTAACACAGCTACCTCTGAAGAAAGGTACTATAAAATTGTCCCCTAACACTTTACTTCATAAAGTTCTTTGATTCTACTATTAGTATTGACACCCACGTCAGCATATTGCATTAAAACTGGAACATTAAACATGATATACCAAATATGATTGTAAAAATAGTCCATGAGCTGCTGATAAAAAAGTAGATAGGGATTCTGTACATTTAATAGTAATGTGGAAGAGGGAATTACATTGACTACATCTGATGAAATTTCTTCTTTACATCTGATTTTCATGGAAACTATATTTGTAAAATTATGTCATGCAATTATTTAAAGCATATAACTCTGTCTTCTTTTTTTCAAAAATTGATTCTAATCACTGACAATCAATTAATGACACATCTTATTTGTTTTCTCCAAGAACCACTTCACCTCTCATCTCTCCTGGTTCTTCCTAGTATTTTTCCAGAAAAGCTATGGGGATGCTCCATCTACTGGACAATTTATGCAGCACATCCCAAAGCAAGTACTGTACCATATAGATACAGTAATTGATACAGAGAAAGTGGATATACTGTAAATGTAAAGCATTACTGTACATGAAATTGATGCACACTTTGCGTTTTTCAACAAACTTTTATATGAATGTTAGTAACTTAATTTAGCTGATAGATAAATGTGAAAATGTGCTTTGAGTATTAATTTCATGGCATCCTCCTCACACTCCTTTTTTGGCATGACATAATAAAAGGAACAGATTGTGAATAAAACTTGTTATCCAATTAATGTAAGAATTTAGGATAGTAACTTGCACATTTTTTTCCATTTTGGGTACAGAGAATTAAAAATAGCTAGAAGGGACAATGCAGGAATACAAATCAAAGGATATCTACCAGGTAGTGGTTGTCTTAAGTGTTTTATTTGCCTGTAAAGTAGACCTTTGATGCTTTTGAATTGTGGTGCTGGAGGAGACTCTTGAGAGTCCCCTGGACTGAAAAGAGAACAAACCTATCCATTTTGAAGGAAATCAACCTGAGTGCTCACTGAAAGGACAGAACCTGAAGCTGATGCTCCAATACTTTGGCCATCTCATGAGAAGAGAAGACTCCCTGGAAAAGACCCTAAAGTTGGGAAAGTGTGAAGGCAAGAGGAGAAGGGGACGACAATGGACAAGATGGTTGGACAGGGTCATTGAAGCTACCAACATGAATTTGACCCAACTCCGGGAGGCAGTGGAAGACAGGAGGGCCTGGTGTGCTCTGGTCCATGGAGTCACAAAGAGTCAGACATGACTTAACGACTAAACAACAACAACAATGTAAACTAATCAGTTGTGATGTTATTTCTGGTCTGCCACCTTACCACTGTTCGTAATCATTAATCTGTTTTGACACACCTCAGCACATGTGAACTCACAAGGCCTAAAATTATATTAAAAATTATCTGGTGTCTTAAATATTTGGACTTTGATTCAAATTCTTCAAAGACCTCTGTCTGAAATTAACTGAAAACTTGCAGGATTTATGAACTCGGCACTGCAGCCTAAAGCATACATTTTTTTGAAAGGCAACAACTATTTCACCATTATATTCCAAAGCATCCATTTATATCACTTATACTGTATATTTTTGCCACTATTTTCAAAGGGCCTATAGTAGGTTTGTAGAGCTGTTGTAGAGTTTTGAATGTTTGGTTACATTCTTCTGTATAACAAAAGTGCATAGATTCATAGAGCGGAATAGCTTCAAGCTCCCCAGAGTAGTCCACCTCTTTTCTCATTAACTGGCATTTACAGTCTCAATATCTCATTCTGAGACATTAGTTGGAGAAAAAAAATAAAAGGTTTCATTTACTTACAGATGATTTTAATCCAGTGGCATCTCCCATTAGTGGATGGTTTGCCAGCTTCTTTCCTCCTTGTTCTTACTCACAATTGAAATATTTATTAGGTACCTTTCAAACTGTAGTTGTTTATTTAAAAAATTAACCTTGTTTTTTTGTCAATGAAAGACATATCTTATATATCAACTTTGTACAAGAAGGACATACAATGCCATACATGCTTGTCAAAAGTAAAGCTCACTGTGTTCAAGATGGCTTATTCCTTGGTAAGTGTACAGATCACAGCTTTCACTTGGACGCCAATAAGATACTCATGATATACCTGTGAATAAGACATGTGAAACAAAAAGCTTGGCAGGAGATTAGGCATCCTTTAGTCTTAAGAGACTATAGTATTGTGCTCTGTACCGAGGACTTGAAACCAGGGCCGGACTGGCCATCTGGCAATTCTGGCAAATGCCAGAAGGGCCGATGGTCAGAAGGGCCGGTTCTTGCCTCAGCGCAGGGCCAGGCTGAGTCCCCCTCCCCAAAAGAGAGCGAGCGAATGAGAGAGCGAAAGGGAGCCTTCCCTCCCCGCCCCCAAATTGGGAGAGGCCATGATGCACCGCCTGCCTCCAGTCTGAATGCTCGGATGTCAAGGTTTCCCATCTGTTGAGGTCCATTCCTAAGGCCTTCAGATCCCACTTGCAGATATCCTTGTACCGCAACTATGGTCTCCCTCTGGGGCAATTTCCCTGCACTAATTCTCCATACAGGAGACCTTTTTTGGCAGTATAGATGCATTAAAAATTAGTTTCATCACCTGAAGATTGAAATAAAGATTTGACAGAATATTGTAGGAAGCACAGTGATGTCACAGACCTATTGAAATAAAACGAAGAGATTATTGCATAGGTGGCGGTGGAGACTGATATATAAAAAGAGTATTTCCTTGTTTCTTTTACTGAATGCTAAATCCAGGTAACTGTCAATTTACACACACACACACAAATACACCATGTGAGTGTGTGCATACACATAGCTTACATGATGAAATCATTGTCGTCCATTTTATCTCTACTGTCTTCAGCCTAAAGTTAGATTAGTCAGCCATGCTCCAGCATTTCTTGTTGTGTGAGTTTTGATTCCCCCAGGCAACCTATTCTGCCTGTGACTGACATCAGGATGTATTTTGAGCAGAATTAATTCTTTGCATTCACCCATTTCCTACTTCCTGTGTGTCTTCTTCTCCTTCAGTTGCTGCCTCTTTTTCCCTTCTTTACCAGCTTTGAATTACCTCATTTTCCTTCCTCCCCTCTCTTACTAAACCATCTGCTTCTCAAGCCATCTGTACCCTCTTCCTGTTTTTACTCAGGCCAGTTCAAGCAACCCAAAAGATTGGATGGGGTGAGGAAATGGGTCTGTGCCAACACAGATGCATGTACAGTAATTTAAGAGATACACCCTTGTATCCCATCCAATGGGGCAAAACCCTTGTAAAAACTGTGGTGAGATTTAAGCGATACCAATCTTACACAAATG